CAGGCACAGAACCACAATGGGTCCAGTGGGTCTGTCCACCCCCAGTCCAGGGAGTACCACCATATCACACGGGGCCTTGTCAGACCCAGTCCTGAGCAGACCTGACGCCTCACCCCCCACCCACGGGAATGCTGCCACCTCTGGCAGGCAGGGCAGCAGTTCCTAGGCTCATGGGAGCCCCGTGTCCCTGCCTACAGCCTGTAACCATCAGTGGGGCCCTGTGAGGCTCAGGCTTGTGCTCTGTTGTTAATAATCATGGTGGGTGGGGGCTGACCCCAGCTTCCAGGGACTGTCACTGTGGATGCCAAAATGGCATAGCGGAGATAAGGGGAATAAGTGACAAAGCCAACTTTTTACCAAAAAAAAAAAAAAAAGAAAGAAACCTTCCACTGAAAAGCACTTGTAATCCCCTATCAGTAGAGTAGAACTGGGGGTACGTTTAGTTAGGGGCGGAGGGGAGGGAGTTACAGAAGCACTGGCGTTATCTTTTTCTAGTGGGAAAGATGGGAGGAGTTAGTGTTGGAGATGGAGGTGGGCAAGGAGAGCTAAACCAAAGAGAAGTGAATTCAAGCTGATGGATGATGGGTAGTTCAAGGAAACCCATCATCTAAATAGTGATTCTCACCCTCCCACCCAGTAGTGTTAGGGCAGAACAAAGGGCTGAGGACCGTTGCTCTTTGCTCCTACCCTTCTCCCTTCCCACCAGGAGCCTGTGTAGCCTACTTCCTTACTAAGAGGCGTGAGTACCGCAACTCCCTGAACCCCTTTAAAGGCCTGAAGGAAAAAGAGGAGAAGAAACTTCGAAGTCGCAGATACCGGGTAGGTTTCTAGGCCTTCCTTTCAAGATGCTAAACTAAACCCTAATAAGCCGCAGTGGCAAAGGCCAGTGGTCCTGGCACCTGAGAACAGCGTTGAGAAGAGAGCCAGGAATATAGGCAGATAGAGGAGGGGGGTAAACTAGTTCTATGATTGGACTTGGGGGCTGGGCTCTCTCAGGCTTGGATTTTACACAGCCTTCCTTTCATCCAAACTCTCTCCCCAAACCTAATCTGTAGTTGGTTTCTCTTCCTAATCTCTGTCCTGTGTTCCTACTCTATAGCTTTTTGCCAACCGATCCAGTATCATGAGGCATTTCGGACCTGAGGACCAACGCCTGTGGAAGGATGTGACAGAAGAGCTGATGTCAGATGAAGAGGACAGTCTTAATGAACCAGGTGTCTGGGTGGCCCGGCCTCCCCGTTTCCGGGCCCAGCGCCTCACAGAGCTCTGTTACCACCTGGATGCCAACTCTAAGCATGGCACTAAAGCCAACCGTGTGTATGGGCCTCCCTCAGAACGATTACCTTCTGCTGAGGCCCAGCTCCTTCCACCAGAACTTTATAATCCTAATTTCCAAGAAGAGGAAGATGAGGGAGGTGATGAGAATGGACCTGTCACCCCATCTTTTGACCAGCCCCACAAAACCTGCTGTCCTGACTTGAACTCATTCATTGAAATCAAGGTGGAAAAGGATGAGTGAAATCTATAACCAAGAGTGACTCTGGCTTCTGCCACTCCCCATGTCCCGGAAATGGGTGGCTATGGGGCACCCCAGAATAATGAGATGTCCTCCGCAGTCTGAGAAAGCAAGTCTGCCTCTCTTCTTAACACAGTCCCTATTGGAAGTGGAAGCTGGAAGCTCTGGTGGGATAAAAGGACTGATCTGGAAGGGGCCCCCCACACACACACCCCGTGTTGTGAATGGCAAGCCAGACAATGCTTATTTCTAAGCATAAACAGTGCCTCTGAAGAGCCTGGGATGAGAAAAGGAGGTGTATGGGTCTAAGAAACATGAGGCCTTCTTGACATATGCCTGGGTCTCTGAGTTTGTTTTTTGTTTGTTTGTTTGTTTGTTTGTTTCAGGTTTCACTCAAAGCTCTGGGGAAGCAGCCCTGGTTGTACTTTCTGCTTCTCAGTGACTGCTGGTCTTGCTCTGCAGTGGAAGCAGCACTGGACCAGTCCAGGGTAATACTGCCACCTGGTGGGCCGTTTCAGTCATGGGCTTGAGTCTTCTGAGCAGAATAGGGGCTCCATCCCTGTTTGGGAATTAGGGTTTAGATGTAATAGGTAATGTTGATTGAATTATATAAAGCAGATTTTATTATTCCCATCTTACACATGAGGAAATTAAGACTTAAAGAGTTTTCATATTTCAATGGCACCTTCTCTGTAACTGTGTGAGCAGGTAGTATACAGGGCTTTGTCGCTATTTAGTCCTGTCAGCCAAGCTGTATTCTAAGGAAGGGGTGGTGTGTGGGTATGTGCGCGCGCACACACACACACACACACACACACACACACACACACACACACAACACACACAAAATGTGTGCATTTTGAATAGATTGAGAAATAAAAATGGCTTTCTATTCAGTCATTCATATAGCAAACATTGATTGCTTACTAGGTGTAAGGCTTCTTAGAGTGGTGTTTAAACTGACTCCTGAAAGACGGGGAGGAGTTAACCAGAAGGAAAGGGAGACCAGGAAAGTGTTTCAAACATAGGCAACAGAAAGAGAGCATAGACAAGGAAGGTGCAATTTTACTGCAGAACAGTTTGGGGAGGGAATGATGCTTAGAGAAGAGGCTGGAGAGGTAGAGAGACCTTGTAAAATATCTTAAAAAGAGTATAGACTTCAGTTCAAGGGCAGTGAGAAATCATTGAAACATTTTAAGGAGGGAAATAAGATGATCAGTTTTGTGTTTTAGAAGAATCACTTGAACTCAGGGTCTGAGATGGATTGGAGGGAGAAAGCCTCCACAGCAAGACTTTTGTAGTGGCTCAGGAGAGAAAAGATGGTGGCGTGACAGACACAGTGGTGATGAGAGGAGGGCAAATTTGAAAGATATTTGCAAAGCAGAATTGATAGGACTTGGTTAGATTTGAGGTTAAGGGAGAACATAAGGTTGATGTTCAGGTTATGGCTTAAGCAGCTAAGTGGTTAATGGCACCATTTATTTACTCAGGGAATGCTGGAGGAGCCAGTTTTGGGAGGCAGGGAAGGTGAGGTCAATTTAGGGTGTTGTATGCCCTTGAGACAACCAAGTGGAGATTCTAGTAGTCAGCTGAGTTTTTTAAGTCCAAGAAAGTCTGGGCCAGAGATACATATTGGGGAGTCATCTATATATATGCGCATATGTTTACCTTAAAGTCTTGGGGATGGAAAATAGAGCCTGTGAAGCTCCTGGCTCCAGTTCAGACTACAGAATGGTTACCTCCAGGTCGTGAGCACTACTGAAGCATGCCTTTAGTACACCCTTCTCCCCCCTTCACTTGTGTCCACTTCGTGATCCCCCGAAAACACAGTTGTTGATCCCAACTGTGCTCACTGTGCCACCACCGACTCCTGGATGGATGGGCCTCCTTTAATGGCTTCTCATCTTTTCATAAGATTTACTCTCCCATTCTCACCCCAAAGGAGCAAAGCTTCCAAATATTAGAGGCAGTGTGGATATTTTGGATGTAAATAATTAGAAGGAAGAATCCATGTTCTCCTTCCCCATCTGGAGAAAGCAAAGGAGGGAGAGCCTTATGATTAATTCTGAAGATGTCACTCATAAAAGTTCTGGATGCAATCTGATAGCTCCTGTTACTAATGCTTTTAGTCTTCCCTGCTTACAGCCTGATACTAAACTCTCCTCTGGATCAGAGAAAAGCTGTAGGCCTGACCAGGGAAACAGAGAGGCTGATTCTCAGGAGAGATGAGGTCAGGGAAACAATGCAGCTAGGACAAAGAAGCCGAATAGTTTGTGCCAAATTAATTTCCCAAAAGATATTAACCTCCTTTCCTTCCCCATTCCCTAAGGCTACACTAAGATTATAAAAGGTGTTCAGAATTTTGAGATGAAAATAATATGATTTGTTTGCATATAATTTTCATACTCATTTACTCATTTAAATACAAAGGAGTCATTTACCTTCTCCATCCTACTTCCTCCATCCCTTGTCCCTTATGTGGTAGCCTGGGTCAAATCAGTTGGCTGGTATTTAATTAGGTATGTTCAACTTCAGCCACCATTTCTTTTTATTATTATTGATCTTTCTAGGATGGCCAATATCAGCCTCTTTTCCTTTTCCACCCTGGTCATTTTCACCTGCTATCTCCTCTAAATGACATTTCTTTTCTTCCTCTTAATACTTATTCTTTATCACCAATCCCCCAACTAAGGGAGAGGCATTCGCTGGCCCTAAAACCAGGCCTTCTATCCCCAGTTAGCTGAAATATTTGTTAAAAATCTCATTTTCCAACACCAGGGGGTGTCTGTCTATCCCTCTACCTGTCCTAACCTGAAGGTAGAGATTAGTCCCAAACTTTTTCCTCCTTTTACATGGACACTAAAGCTCCTTCTCTCCCTAAATGGAGCTTTGAGTTCAGAAAGTGGTCTTTTTATTGCAGTTTATCTCTCATTCTCTCTAGACTTGCACAAATTGGTCTTTTTCTTAGTCTAGTCACCCTTCGGTCTCAGCATCACCCTTGATCCCCTTTGCTCGGCTCTCCCTTTCCTTTGGCTGTCTTCCACCACCTCTCTATATGGACTTCCCTGCCTTTCTGGACTCTACGTACGCGGCTCTGAAACTCTATATATCTACCTTTCTTCCTCTCCCTGTCTTCCTCTTTATGGATCTCTGTCTCACTACTTCTGCACTAGTCTCTCTCCATCTCTCCCAGTCCCTACACTAAGAACAAAGTCACGGTGTTTGCGCAGAACATGCCTCGCGTTGTCCCGTTCGGACCGCAACCTTCCACTGTGCCCCTCCGCACATTCCAACTGCAAACAAATAGTCCCCCCCCCCCAAAAAAAAACTTTTTCCTGTCCCAATTCTTGAGCGACGTAGTAGCCGCTGCCCAAACTCGCCCTCCTCTTCAGTCGGTGGATCTCCACCTCCAGGAGTTACCACCAGCTCCCGCCGCCCCCCTCAGCGTACCAGAGATCCCTGCGCAGACACCCCGTTCCTCTCTCATTTGGCGCTCCGCCCCTCCAGGAAAGTAGATCCGGCCAGGCAGACAAAAGTTTGGGAGAGGAGTTTGGTCGGTGCTGAGTGTGAGAGTGAGGGGGGCGGGGGCCGAGCAGAGTGGGGTGGCCGGGCAAGTCGACGCGTGAACAGATAGACCTGTGGACGGGACAGCCGCGGCTGTAGGCCCTTCCAGACCTGCTAAACTCCTGATGCGCGGGGGGACGCAGCCCCTCTCGCTGGGGGATGCTGTGGGATTACTGGCGCTGGGCATCCGGGCTGCCGGCTAAACCCGTCGTGTGCCTACCCTGTGCCCCTGGGGAACCGGAGTCCGGCAGCAAGGAAAGAGAAGCGGCCGCCGGGACGCTGCAGGGTGCCGGGCGGGGAGGGGGCTGGAGGCCCCAGGCCCGAGGGCATGGAGCGGTTAGGGGAGAAAGCCAGTCGCCTGCTGGAGAAATTAAGACTCTCGGACTCCGGCAGCGCTAAATTCGGCCGCAGAAAGGGTGAATCTAGCCGCTCTGGGTCTGATGGGACTCCCGGCTCGGGCAAGGGGCGCCTGAGTGGGTCGGGGGGACCTAGGAAATCAGGGCCCCGTGGAGCTACTGGGGGACCTGGGGATGAGCCGCTGGAGCCAGCCCGGGAGCAAGGGCCCCTGGACGCTGAGCGGAACCCGCGCGGCTCCTTTGAGGCGCAGCGCTATGAAGGCTCCTTTCCTGGGGGCCCACCTCCCACCCGGGCCTTGCCTCTACCTCAGTCATTGACCCCCGACTTTCGGCTGGAGACCACGGCCCCAGCCCTAAGCCCCCGCTCCAGTTTCGCCAGTAGCTCAGCCAGCGACGCGAGCAAGCCGTCCAGCCCCCGGGGCAGCCTGCTGCTGGACGGGGCGGGGGCTAGCGGAGCCGGAGGTAGCCGACCCTGCAGCAATCGTACTAGCGGCATCAGCATGGGCTACGACCAGCGCCACGGTAGTCCCCTGCCCGCTGGGCCATGCCTGTTTGGCCCACCCCTGGCCGGGGCTCCCGCGGGCTATTCCCCTGGAGGGATGCCGTCCGCCTACCCGGAGCTCCACGCTGCCTTGGACCGACTGTGCGCTCATCGGCCGGCGGGGTTCGGCTGCCAGGAAAGCCGCCACTCGTATCCCCCGGCCCTGGGCAGCCCAGGAGCTCTAGCCGGTGCTGGAGTGGGAGCGGCAGGGCCCTTGGAGAGACGAGGGGCGCAACCTGGACGACACTCGGTGACCGGCTACGGGGACTGCGCTGCGGGCGCCCGATACCAGGATGAGCTAACAGCGTTGCTGCGCCTGACCGTGGGCACCAGTGGGCGAGAGGTCGGCGCCCGCGGGGAACCCTCGGGGATTGAGCCATCGGGTCTCGAGGAGTCGCCGGGTCCGTTCGTTCCTGAGGCCCCCCGGACCCGGATGCGGGAACCGGAGGCCAGAGAGGACTACTTCGGTGAGTAAGAGAAGTGGTTTGGGACAGGAAGGGACCCGTCACCACATTCGTTCCTCACTGCCCCGACGGTCTACATTGCCGGCGCAGTGGAGTCGGAGGCGGAGACGCGCGTTAGAAAGAGGCAAGAGGGATTTCCCTTCCCACTAGATTTCAACTGGACTAGGGGCTCCTTATTCCTGCTAAATTCTAACCTCCTGATTATCTCGTGAATCCCAGTTCCCCAAGCTTAGAGCCTCGGATTTTCGCGATAGCAGGCCTCGTAGGGAGGGGACCTAGGGGCAGTGATAGCATCCCCCATCTTGCTCCCCCCTTGGCGGCGGTGCCCCAGCAGGCTTCTGCGCGCTGCGCCCCCACCCGGGCCCAGGCTCCGCCCGCAGGAATTCGGGGAATGCGCGGGGGGGTCGGGGCGGGCCGGCCGCGTGCGTGCCGGCTCCTGTCCCGTCGCTCCAGGTGCCCGCGGGCGGGGCCGGCCGCGCGGCGCTGGGCGGAGGGGTGGGGTGCGGCGGAAGGGGTTGGGGGGAGGACTGCTCCCTAACACGCGCCGAGCGGTGGCGGTGGTTGGGTAAATGGAGCCTGGGAGGGAGGATGAAGCGCCCTGGAACAGAAAGCAGGGACCCCACTGCTGGCTCGCTCCAGTCCTGCTGGCTCAGTGTGTGCGTGGGCATTTAAGCGGAGACTTGGTGGTGTCAGCTTCTAATTTCCCCATCCTCTGGAAGTCAGAACAGAAGCCATGACCACGAGGACACCATTGCCCCTGGATGGATAACAACCTTGTGTAACTGCCAGAAATCATCTGGCCTTCAGTTCTGGCCATAACTTGCCCAGAAATCTGTCTAGAATTAGCCTCTTACTTTTCTGTTGCTGTTAAGGACACCTGGGTTGAATGCTGTCTCCCACACACCATTACCTTTAAGAAGTACTGATTATGTCTCAGCTGTGGGGGGGATATTGGGGTCTTGAAATATCTTTTAGCCAAGACCCACAGGCACCACTTCATATATAAATACCAATCTGACTGTGGTAGGAAGTACAGAAAGAAGTGGAGGGCTCACCCCCAGGGCTATGGGCTTCTTCAGTTTTCCAGGTTATCTCCTTACCTTTCTCAACATCCATGTTCCTGCCCTGGATGGACCCCATCCTCTTGACCTCTAGAAATGTGAATAGAGAGGGAAACTCAGCCAGGGAGGGAAGATTGAGGAGGAGGTACAGAGATAGCAGGGCTGCAGGCCGAAAGGGCCCTGCCTGGTTCAATACAATACCACTATCCTTTTCCCTCTACCCTTAGAGAGGAAAGCCCAGAGCTGATGATGCTTTTTGGTCAAGGGAGACTAAGTAACAGGATCCTTTTTGCACTTTCCTTTTGAGGCCCAGGAGAAATGGCTGTTGGTGGAAAGAAGTCTCTTTGGTTAAGCCATCAGAGCTAAAAGGAAAAAAGAGCTCAGAAAGAGTGCAATAAAATGGCAGGAAGAACCTAGGTGTGGATACCCTGGGTTAGAGGAGGTGAGGCGGACATGCCTGAGCAGTTTACTCTTGTCTTCCCCTGATGTTCAAAGCCTCCCAAAGAAATGGCTCTGACAGGGCCCCCTGGCATGGCAAGCTTGGGGCAGATCTCCACTACCATGAGGAGGCCACATTTTGACCCCAGAGGTGAGGGCCTCTCCTCCCTGGGGGTCAGGTTGCCTCCTCTGACAGAACCCCCAGCCTAACCATACTCTCCTACTCCTGCCCCTGGTAGGGGCCTTCTTCCTTGGCGACAGCCTTGCCCAGCTGCCAGAGGGTGGGAGCAGGACAGGCCTGGGCCCATCAGTTGCTGCAGCTGCTGCACGGGCTCCCAAGCCCCTGGGCAAAGGCTGGGATGGGCCCCAACAGGCAAGGAGTGTGGCAGTGTGAGGGGGAGAGGTGGGGCAGGGTGAGGCGGGCCCGTTGGGATCTGCTCCCCAAAGACAGGCCCTTGCCCTCACTCATGGGCCTGGAATTGGGGAGTGGAGGGAGGGATGAACACACCTAGGAGAGGCTGGTGCCAAAGCCAGGTGTATGTACTTTCAGGGGAATATCCAGGAAGAGCAGTTCAGCTCTGTCCCTCCCGTGATAGAAGATGACAGGGAGACATTAGGGGTTCTGCCACCCTTCCCCCTCTTTCTGTGCAACCCTCTTGGGAACACACCCTGCATTCTCATAGCAGCCACCTCCCCTCAGGAGTCATGCTCACATGGTCCCCTCTGCACAAGGCCCGCTGCTCAGCCAGATCCTCTTTCCATCCTTGGAAGCCTGGAGGTGCGGAGCAGTGAGAAGTCATTCTGTGGCTGAATAGCAGCTCATTTTACAGATGGGGAAACAGGTCCCAGAGAGGCTTCCTGTAGGAAGTTTTTACGAGTCTGTTCCTGGGCCCGTATGGACTGGCATCTCTGACTATTTGTCCCACACAGTGCAACGGGAATCATACTTTGCCTGTTTAGTCTTTTCTCCCCAATAGAAAATGAGCATTTGAAGGCCAGGGACCATATCTTTGACTTTCCTCCAGTTTTCCATAGTATTGGGCACAGTATTTTTGCTAAGCCCAAAATTGATGCTCAGAAAATATTTGTAGATTAATCAATAAACAAGAATGGATCTGCTCAGCCAAGACCTTGCTGCATCCCATTTCTCATTATCCTCTTTTCCCAGAAGGGAGCCCATCAAAGGGAGGCTCTGACTGGTGGTCCCCTGCCACAATCAGGAAAGACCTGGAATCTGGTTTTGAGCTGGGGGAGTGGGGTGTGACACTAACATCTTCTCTCCCCTCAGGCACCTGTATCAAGTGCAACAAAGGCATCTATGGGCAAAGCAACGCCTGCCAGGCCCTGGACAGCCTCTACCACACCCAGTGCTTTGTCTGCTGCTCCTGTGGTGAGTGCTGCCCCCACACCTGGACCAGGCCTGGAGGCCTCAAGCACTCCCCACACACATACACACTCACAAGTGCCTAGGGAAACAGGAGCAGAGCTTGTGCCTCTTCATTTGCTCAGAGAGCAGCTGTCCCCACCATGTGTCTAGACTTCCATTGCTGCCCCACCTTCTCTCTTGCTCCCCTTCCCTGTGCTCTACCTGGCTCTCCCGCTCCCATTTTGGGTCTGCTTTCTGGAGTCAGTCTTCCCTCTGTTCAGCTTCTTTCCTCCCCTCTGTTTGTTCCTCCCTCTTTCTTCTGCCTCCCTGCTTGCCCAGCCTGGACTCCCGCCCAGCCCTCCAGCCTCTCTTTGGTGGGGTTTGGTCTTGGGCAGCAGAGTTGCCTGGGGCGACAGTGAAAGACTGGAATGTGGGAAGGGCAGGGGTGGGCTGGGGGAGTAGGGAGCTGTGGGGGGCGGAGAAGGGGGTTTTCTCTTGGCTGGTCAGAGTTCAGCCACCTCTCTAGAGTGCAGGCCACCGGGCCATGCCAAGCTGATGACATCACGCTCCAGGAATGCCTGCTGTTAGCTCAGGAGGCCCAAGGCCCAGGGGGGGAGGGGGACCTGTTCCCAGAGGCTTTAACTCCGCAGTCCTCCCCACTGCTTCCCCTCTCTGATTCCTTTTCTAAACCTTTAATCTCCTATCTCTGCCTGTCTGACTTTAGCACTCAGCTTTTCTCTCACTCCCCAGCCTCTGCCTGGCTCTCTTTAGGTTCATCTGTCTGTCTGTCCTTCTGTTTATAGGGCCTCTTCCGGGTGTGCCTTTTTTCCCCCCTCTCTACTCCCCTGTGTCTCATGAGTTTCTAATCAGCTTTTCTAAACCACTGGGTAGAGCTGGAAGTGGAGATTTTGATGAGAAGAGGGCAGAGGTGGGAAAATTGCCCATTCTCTGCCCTGGTCTCACTCCTCCCCCATCCATAACAATTTAGATGCCCTGGAACAGTTCCTGGGTGTTGGTTACGTGAGGAATGGCCCTGCCTTGTCTGCTCACAGAAAATCCTGGGCAGCCTCTGACCCCTCTAAGAATTGGGGAAGCAGCCTAGTGCAGCAGGAAAGGGGACCAACCAACTTTGCTCCTAAACAAAGCACTTTGTCCCCAGCAGTAACTCCAATAGGTCCTGACCTCCATAGAGCCTACCTCTGGAAGGAAACAGACAGGGCTAGATGAGCAGGATAGCTATGCTCAGGCAAAGAGCTTCCTGGGTTGAAAAGTCCCAGAGGGCAAGGCCTGTGACAATGTGATAGTCTCTATGCACATTGTACAGCACCTTGTTCAGGCTCCTTGACCATGTACTCCACCCTGTGGTTGGCTGTGCTTTCCCAGGTGGCTCCCCATGCACCAGGCACTGGAGAGGAAGGCACTCGTTTAGGGCAGGGTCATAGAAAACTTGTGGAGGCAGAAGCTGGAAGAACAGTGAGCAGAGGAGAGGGGAAGTTGGCAGTAATGAGACTAAAGCAAATTGGAATTGCATCTGTTGGGGATTTTGTGTGGAGAGGGAGGACAGACAGCAGTTAGGAGGATAAGCACTAAAGTCCAGATTTAAATGCATCGTGCAACATTGGAGATCATTGACCCCAGAGTGGGGAAGCCCTGTTCCTGGACCCAGGGATAGGCTCCAGCCCTTTCTCTGCTGCTTCTAGGGCGAACTTTGCGCTGCAAGGCTTTCTACAGTGTCAACGGCTCTGTCTACTGTGAGGAAGATTATCTGGTGAGTGAGAGGCATCCCTAGGCTTGGACTTGACTCCCATACTAGGACCCCCTTGTTGGTGGCCCACTGGGGTTCCACCCATCAGGTCATTCTCAGCTTGTAACATCCTCCCTTGGTCCCTAGTTTTCAGGGTTTCAGGAGGCAGCTGAGAAATGCTGTGTCTGTGGTCACTTGATTTTGGAGAAGGTAAGCAAAATGTCTTCAGCAGAGATGAGGCTGAGGGACTGAGGGGTGGAATCGAGGGTACTGAGAAAATGTGGCGGGGGAGGACAGCTATCACCAGATGAATCCCTTTCATCCCTTTCCTCTCAGAACAGTTACCTACAGTGGCTTTCCTCTGCCTCTGGGATTGAGTCCTGACTTCTAATCCTGCCATCCCTAGGCCTCTGTGATCTGGCTTCTCCCTAATTCTGCAGGCACAGTGTGGCTCTCCACCTGACCTCGGAGTGTGGGGTTCTGGGTCTTAATCCCCTTTCTGCTACTGGCTAGGATCAGTTGGAACTCAGTTTTCTTTTCTGTAAGAAAGAGGAATTGAGTTAGATCAGTGGGTCTCAGTCTTGGCAGCCCAGCAGATCACCTGGGAAGAAGTAAAGAGAACTACCAGTGCCTGGGTCATCATCACCAGAGACTGATGAATACTTTTGGGATGGGATCCAGGCTTTGATGGGCTTAAAAGTGCCCCGGACAATCTTATTATGTAGCCAGGGCTGAGAACCACTAGCCTGAGCGCTGTCTTAAGACCTTTTTCAGGGTTTCTGCCTCCATTTCCAGACTCCCTGGTCCCCTCAGATGCCACAGCATTGTTCTGGAAAGATAGCAGGGGGTTGGATGAGTTTCGTGGGAGCAGCAGGGAACAACATGTGTAGCTGGAGAGCCAGGACTAGAGGGAGACTGATTCTCCTCCCACTCCACGAGCCAGATCCTACAGGCAATGGGGAAGTCCTATCACCCAGGCTGCTTCCGATGCATCGTGTGCAACAAGTGCCTGGATGGCATTCCCTTCACAGTGGACTTCTCCAACCAGGTGTACTGTGTCACTGACTACCACAAGTGAGTCCACCTCTTGGGATGTTGAACTGGGCTCAGGGATTTCCCAGCCTTAGCTCATCTCTGCCCCCTCTCTTTCAGAAATTATGCTCCTAAGTGTGCAGCCTGTGGCCAACCTATCCTCCCCTCAGAGGTCAGTAAGTCTGGGTTCTCCTGCAGGGCAGCCAGTGCTGCTGCCTCTGGGGAAGGGATGGGGACACGCTGCCTGGCCTCCCTCGGGAGGTGGTGGTGCTGAGGAATGTACTCTGCGAAGATTCCCGTGTGACTCTGCTCTCAGGGTCACCGCCCTGACCCTAACATCCGGGCCTGGACATGTCTGACAGCCTCACTGGGCCCAGGCTCCATCTCTTCTCTCTCAGTCCAGAGGAAGAGACTTTCTTTTGATGTCAGGGTCACCAGATCTCAGATGTAAGGGCTGGAAAAAGGTGGGAAGAATCCTTAGGGCTGGTAGGAAGGGGTTAGAAATCATTTATGGCGTGTACTGAGGGTGTACCTAGGGAGAGAAGCCCAAAAAAAGCCAGTGGGGACCAGACCCTATTGGAACTCCTTGTCCCCACCTTAGCCTGTTTTATTTATGCTGGCTGCCCCTTTCCCTTCCCTCAGCTGCCCACACAGCTGAGACAGGTAATTAAGGTCAGAGCCCCTGGAGCCAAGGAAAGGGAGGGGAAAGTTCCAGTAAGATGTACAAAGGCCATCTGAAAGCTACAGATGATTGCAGGGAGGCTGTGGAAACCTTTGTATGATCTTCCCATTGGGGTGGGAGTGGGGCCTGGACTGGGGAGGGTGGAGTTGGGGTTGTCATGCAGCTGTCATCTCCATGGGGGTCTGCATTATTTCAGGGCTGTGAGGACATTGTGAGGGTGATATCCATGGACCGAGATTATCACTTTGAGTGCTACCACTGTGAGGTGAGTGTTGGGGGCCAGGGTTCCTGGAGGAGAATTGGAATGGGGCAGGGGAGGAGTCAAGTCCTAGAACTGCAGGAATCTATAGGGGAGGTATGGAGCATGGAACACCAGGAAGGTGCTCTGACCCTTCTCCAGTCTCTTTCTCATCCTCCAGCCACTCTCTCTGGTCCTGGTTGTTTAGTGCTTTCTGAACCTGGCTTCCCGGAGTCAAGACTCCTAAAACTATAGGGCCTCCTGATATCCGCTGGAAATGGAAGCCTGTCTCATTATTTCTGCTGTAACAGCGACACCTGGTGTCCAGCTGAGGTATTTTCTCAGGCGTCTCTTCTGGGAATCCATCCCTTCCAACCCCACCCCCTTTCTTAGAAGTCTGGTGTTGAGCAGGGCAGACTCCCAGGATGTCTGAGGGGCCTGGGCCGAGGTGAACTAGTGTCCTTCTTCCCTAGGACTGCCGGATGCAGCTGAGTGATGAGGAAGGCTGCTGCTGCTTCCCTCTGGACGGGCACTTGCTCTGCCACGGCTGTCACATACAGCGGCTCAATGCTCGACAGCCCCCTGCCAATTATATCTGAGCTGCAGTCACTGGTGCTGCCATCACCACTGTTGACAAATTCCTCTGGCCAGTGGGCCCCTCTGAGGCCAGCCGAGGCAAAGGATGTACTCTTCAGGCCTGGCAGAGAGTCCTCTGGGGACGGCCCCAAGGGCCAGAGACCCAAAGATCATGACATTCCAAATGGGTTGTGGAGGAGGAGGAGGACTTGCCTTCTTTCCACATGCGCAGCCTGTGCGGTGGCATATACTCAGGCACACACAGGCAGGTTCCTCTCTAAGGTCTGATTCTAGCCTATATCTTCCAGTATATATTTGTGTATACGTCAAGCAATGTTCTGGCTCTGGATTAGAGGGAGCGAGGACATCACGGAGCTCCTGACTCTTTTGTACTCCACACCTGGGTCATATTTGGGGTCAGCCAAGGTTCTTACCACACCACAGCATCTTATTTCTGTATCTGGATAAAGAGCTGTACCTTATTAATGAGTTATTTCTTGGCCACCTGCTCTCTATAAAGAGTAGGCGAGCTGCTCACCCCTCTGCTGGGAATGGAGACCAGCTCTGGGTGGGCCTGCTGCCTGTATTGCCTGTTTCTCAGGGACTCACATGGGCCTGGGGACACTAGCTGTGTGCCTGTAGTTGGTTCCTCTTTTCCTCAGGTGGGGGAGGAGGTAATGAGTGGGTCACTGGATGTGGAGTTGCTGGGGGAGATGTCTAGGAAGCTTCAGGCTATCCACTCTGCCTTGTGTAAGTGCACTGAGCCCTCCAGCCCAGTATATGCACCCATGGGCACGGACTCACACACACACACACACACACACACACACACACACACACACACACACCCTCCCTTCTCAGGTCACTCCTATACTTGGTTCCCTAGCACCACTCTAGAGCTGCCATCTTTCAGAGGAATCCAGGGTTATATCCACTGCAACTTCCAAACTCTGAGTTTCCGAAGAGCCAGAGGGGCAAAACACTTTGACTTGGTTCTTCTAGTAAATTTGGCTGAAATTTATTCACCTAAAGCTAGATCTCTTAAAATCAATTCATTGAGAACTTGTGTGCTTAAAGTTTCCTCCACTTAATGACCACTTTGCCAAAAGCTCCAATTCCTTTTGGGTATTTTTTTTAGCCATCTAGGTATTCTATTCTTTTTTGTCATGCTTTGGGTATTTCAAGGATTTATATCTATTCATCCAAGAATACTTCTGAGTTATCATCAACAACATAAATTTATCAAATTTGCAGCACTTCGCAAATGATGAGGTTGCTTCCTACCTTTCTGGATATCTCTTTCTATGTTATCTACTTTTCAGACACTTTTTAAAAAAGCTTAAAGTCTCTAGCAATAAATATAATTGGTACAGACATTTTGTGTATCATTTTTTGTGTTTCTTAATCTAATATTCCTTTACAAATTAAATGCCTTGAAAAAATGTAACAGAGCTCAATATGATTTTATGCTTTGTTCTAACTTCTACTTTCCTGCTGTTAAAATGCCAATATATTCTAAACAAATGAACAGGTATGTGGCATATTCAGTTGACTAACAATTTAAGGTTATACAGACAACAGCAATAAAAAGTGAAAGGGTGAATCCGCTAAATCCTTTTGAAAATGCTGCAGATTTGATAAATATTTTAGATTGTCTCTAGGTAAACTGGTTTTAAGCAAATTAATCTGATAATTTTGGATTCTTAGTCTTCATTTTCTGTCACTATAGAGTTTCATACTGGAAATGATGACGCCTAAGAACAGAAATTCCATATTTAGGGGTTATTCTAAGATGACTATGCCAGCCAACCTGGGAATTGCATAGAAGAGGGTTCTGAGTGAGAGTAGTAGTTCAGATTCATACCACTGACTGCCAGAGGAGAGAATGCACTTTGGAGGGATAAATGTACTGATATGCTAGATTACTTGTTCTACAGATGGGACTACTTCTGAACTATTATTAAATAAGTGAATACAAAGACTGTGACTGGGAAATTTTCTTACCAGGTTGCTCCAGGCCTGGGAAATCCAGAGAAGCATGTATAGCTTTATTATCCATCCCTTTGGTTCTGTCTTTACTCTTGGGGGCTTGTCCACTGTTATTCTGACTTTTTGTTTCTTACTCCGATTTTGACCTCTATCTGCTGCTGACTAGCTGATTCCTTTTAGGTCTATGCTTACCTGTCCCAGCTCTGGGGCTCCCCAAGATTTCTTCCCACTGGGTCTTTTCTCTCTTTCCTGAGGAAAAACAGTGCTGACCTCTAATGAGGACAGGCCCAGGGAAGACAGCCCCAGCACCCTGCGTCATTGGCAGGCTCCTAAGTGTACCCTGCATCGCAAGTTTCCCTTCCTCCTGTTCACTAGAAGACTGCTCATCCTTAATAGTTGTATTTAACATTTACAGTTGATAGTGAAAGATTCATAGGGTGCTGCCAAGGATAAAGCAACAGGTACACCGTGTTTGGCAACTCGCCACCTGATTTTCGTCAACAGCCACTAGGCCTGAGAAAAGGGAATTATGGATCCATTTTGTCTCTAGATTAGAGTCACAGGACAGAGGTCAGGCTTTCACAGAAGACTGGCTGTTTGCTCTGGTTCTATTTGCTAAATGCATGAATGTGTTTTATCAAGAATGAGGCTGGTGGTGGTTCTCTCTGCCTCACTCCTAAGAGATGTTACCCCTTCACCATCTGGAGCTCTCAAGGCCAGAGAAATGGTAAGATTCCATTTATAATAAAGCTGGAGACTGTCCTCAGCCAAGGAGGAAGTAGGAAAACAGCTAATTCCAGGCACAAAACCAGTTAGATGAGGATCTTGAGATTGTACCTATACAAAAGGGAATAAAAAGGGAAAGGAGACTAATAGGACTGAGATAAAAGGATTGGAAAAAAACAAGAGCTAAGGCATTTTAAATTTAATTTTGTTTTTTAGACTCATACCTCAGCTGGCCTGGGGTCATTCAGAGCCCCAATGGTGAGGCTCCACAAGGGCAAGGGTCCAACCAATCTCAGCCCTCCATCCTCTCCTCCCTTGCAGCAAGCAAGACCTAAGACTGGGTCTCTGCTGTGACAATTGCTTGTATAGGACCCTTAGAATATCCAGACTGGGCTCCAGTGGTAAAGGACTAAGGTTTGACCTTGAAAATAGGAGCAAATTGTTCCTGGAATGTGTGGATTAGACCAGTCTAACTGATGGTAGGAGAATCATCAGAGGCAAATTCTGTCCCCTGTGGGTATTATTTCACCTAAGCTTAGAAAGGGTACGGCAGACCTTTATGAAGGAAGCCAAGGTGCTATCCAAGCAGGGAGAAATGGATTAGAAGGAATATACTAAAAGGTACCCTTTAGGCTTGTATCCTAGAGACTTAGGGCCAAACAGGATGAGATTTTAGAGATAACAGTCACCTCATTTTACTGAATGGAGAAATAGAAACTGAATGATAATGGGCCTTACCCAAGGTCACACAGCTAGAAAATGACTCCAACTATGAAGACCAATGAAGAGCTATTTTTCCCTCTTCCCTTCCACCCCATCACAGGGACTCTCACAGCATAAGTAAACTGTAATGAGATAAGCACTTCATTATGATAGATATTTAGGGAAAGTTTTAGTGGGAAAGCCAGGGAATATAAGAAACAGTAATGAAAACATTGGGTGCTTACTAATGCTTTTTTTTGTTAATTAGAATTAGTGATAGCCAAAGTACCTTTAAAAGCACATTAGGAGAAGCAAAGGAAATATATTGCAGGAGAGTCCCTGCCCTTGAAGATGTCACAGTCTAGCCAGGGAGACAAATACATAAAATGCCTTGAGAAGATTACAAGCAACATGACAACAAATGCAAAGTAATTGAGTGTTACAAACAAAAGACCTGATGCTGCAAGGTACAGATGACAGGGGTGAGACTTTGTCTGGCTTAGACCTTAGATCAGAAGGTAGAGGCCCATAGGTTAAATTCTGTCCCCAAATGCATTGAGTTTGGTCTACTGGCAGTTATTTTTCATATTAATTTGAACCCTAGTTGAGGGGAAAACGCCAGTTAATAAGTATAGAAAGAATGATAGAATTTGAAAAATAGCATTTGGCAAACTTTAATAAAATTATTTATTCTTGTGTGCTCGCTTCGGCAGCACATATACTAAAATTGGAACGATACAGAGAAGATTAGCATGGCCCCTGCGCAAGGATGACACGCAAATTCGTGAAGAGTTCCATATTTTTTGTTCCCATCCCCCAATTCCCCAATTAAAATAAAAATCTTTAAAAAAATTTATTCTTGCAAAAATTATTAGTTGGTGTTAAAACCATAGGTAATTCATCCATGACTTTTCATTAGTTTATAATTGCAGAAGGACAGAAAGCTATAACAACAGTGATTCTCTATAGTTATAATCTACGCATACACTAAATGAACAATACAAGCTGTGTATTTTTCTTTTTCCATGTTATGTTTATTCTGATCATGTTTATTAAAATAATTTTTATGTTTGAAGAATCTAATAAAATTTGGCTTGCAAAAATAAAAACAAAAAAAACCATAGGTAAAATGGCTGGTGGACAACTGCACATTCATATAGTGCCAGGTAACACTATCAGCTTATAGTCTTATGGCCAGAAATGTAACTATGTTGGAGGGATCAGACTGTCACCATTTGTTTCCTGGAATGGGTCTTAGTATCACTAACCAGTAGACCAATTCTGGTGTGAGGCAAATACATAACTCAACCCAACCCAGCATATATTCTAGCTACTCCCCACAAAAAAATATTAGATGTAACTTTCAGTATACAGGAAATACTGGGGATAGAGAAACAAACTAAAGGGGCACTAGGAGGAAGCAGCTAAACAAATCTTGGGAGGTGAGGCATTTTGCAGGGCAACTGGCCAGCTCTCTTCAGCAAATCAGTGTGATTTTTTTTTTAAAGTCAAAACTGCTAGATTAAAGAGATTTAAGGTATGCAATAACAATATAATACATGGTCCTGGATTCCCTATTGGTTTAAACAAGTTGCTATAAAAGATAATTGGAGTCAACTGGAGAAATTTTAATATGGGCAGGATTAGGTGAGGTACAAATTTACTAAGATGGAAAGGTCAAAATCATTAACAAAATGCCAGTTCCAAAACCATATATACAGGGTAATCGTATTTTGTTTTTAAAATGTCTATATATTGATGAAAAAAGATCTGAAAGGATCTGCATTAAGGTGTTAACAGTGGTGATCTCTGGTGAAGATATGTTTTGTTGTTGTTGGCCTACAGTTTCCATTTTTATACAATGCATGTATACTGCCTCAGTAATAATAAGCTGTTATAAATAAAATAACTGGTTGCCAATGTTGCCAATTCAAGATATTTCACATAAAAACCTGGATATTGTATACGAAGGTCTGGGTTTCTCAGGTTTTTTTGAATAATTAGAAGGTCTGTCACCCCTGGGCATTCATTCCCACATGGCAGCAACTGATTGGAACTGAGCGATGGCTGCTCCTATATTCAGTGTCTTCTCTCAGTTTGTCACAGTCCCTATCATTCTTTCCTCTGTGCCCTTCACACATTGCTTACCTGCCTGGCTCCCACAGACATCTGAGTAAGTAACCCTTGATTTGGATGATCCTAATAGGCTCCTCATCCATAGAACCTCTTATTATTAATAAATTTGAAGGTACCAATAAATTAGTTGCCCAAGAAAAGTACCCATTCCAGAATTATCTGCTCCTGGGTTTTTAATAAGGCAACCTAGTCATGGGAAACCCAGATGTAATACTTAATCTATTTAGATACCATGGTTCCATACTATAAATTAGTTTAGCAAAATTTCTCTTTGGTAAATAGAATCTAGAAAGTATACTAAATTGCTAACTTCCTTAAGGTTTTTAATTTTTTTTTGCCATAACACCTTAATCATAGGAAGCATTTCAAAATTTACAATGTATGTTCTTCCCAAGCATGAAACTCCATCTGCCCTTTGGTCTATTTCTCCCACTGGTTCTGATACAATTTTTTTTTTTTTAAGATTTTATTGGGGAATCAGGGAAGAGGAACAGACAAGTTGCTGTCCTTTTGTTCTTCAGTCTAGTTGTGGAGGGCGTCGCTTCACTGGCCCATGTTGGGATTGTGACCAATGCGCTCTTCCAGGGTGAGGTAGTCGCTTGCCGGCCACTGGACCGCCACTCACGGTGGCTCACGGCAGCTCACGCCCATTGCCGGCTAGCCCCACTGCAGCCTATGCCGTCTCTGGTGACTCATGACAGCCTAGCTCCAGATCCAGCTGTTGTTCACCATCTTAGCTGTAGAGGGTGAGCGTCACTGGCCCTCAATGTGGGATCCGAACCGCAGCCCTGTTGCTCACAGGTGGTGCTCCCAAGCG